TGTTAGTTGTCTTTGAGTTTCCCTGGCCAGAGTCCGGGGAGAGAGAAGGGAGATTCCTTTACAGAGAAACAAATTTCTGATGTTAAATTTCATAAACCTAAACCCAATTGTTTTAGTGGTATTAAAAGCTTTGGGTAAAAGCTGCACTTGTTCTCCACTGGAGGTGTGGTCACTGCCTCCCCATTGCATCTGTGTCCCTAACTCTCAAGGGGGGAGGTGCAGGGAGGCCTTGGTAAGTCCTTGTTACAGAGTAAGAAGCAAGTCCTTCTAACTGCCCTCCACCCTCCTGATGTTTGGTGTGCAGAGGTGATGACTTGGGTTTCTTCAGGATCTTAGTTCTTCTCCCAGGCTTCAGAGTGGGTGATGGGAATAAGGGTGGTAGTAGGGAATTGGAGAAGATGGGGGTGCTGGGTGTCTCTTCCCCCAAAAGGGTCCCTCTTTGACCAGCTGTTTGTTTTATAGATTGCACCACCTGAAACTCCTGACTCCAAAGTTCGTATGGTTATCATCACTGGACCGCCAGAGGCCCAATTCAAGGTTTTGATTTTTATTGTTTTTCCAAGCTGGGTACAAGGGGATTGAGGTTGGGTACTGAGTGCAGAAAAAGAGCTTGGGTGATTTCCCATCAACTATCACATCCTTGGCATATCTTTAAGCCCTCCCTGCAGGATAAGGGCTGCAAAGATACTTGGAAATTGGCATCAAACTCAGCTTCTTTCAATTTATGCTTTTCTTACCACTTCTAGGTCAACATGAATTTTAGGACAGAAAGAACTCTAAGGGCAGCTTTTTTGCACTCCACCTTAGTTACTATGGAAGGCATTTGATGCCAAATTCCTTTTTCTCCTTTATGTCCTTACTATGTCCTTAGCTTCTTGAACTTCTGGTCAGATAGCTAAAGAGCCAACACTTAAGCTTTGTGAGGATGAAGTGCCACTGTGTAAGGTGAGGCAGGCAAGCCTTCTGCGTGCCTCAAGGAATTGCCATCCAGGGCCTTGAAATGCTAGTCAGTGCCACATCCAGATAAGTGCAGTCCTTCCAGACCCCATAGGTCTCATTTGCAGCTTGTGAATTATATTCCTCTGGGAAACCATTTTTTTTTCCCTCTGGGAAGTATGTATTTGGAAACTCATAACTCTAGTATTACAGATGAGCACAAGGAACACTGACAAACTGCTCAGCTAGGCCTTCCCTGTCACCTACCTGCCTTAGATGGTTGGTCCACCTAGGATGAGGTGGTCCTATGAACCAGAAGTGGATGGGCTGGATCTTGGAGACTGCACTAAATCATGGATATATGGCCTACTTGTTAACAATTACCTCCTCGTCCTAGGCTCAGGGAAGAATCTATGGCAAACTCAAGGAGGAGAACTTCTTTGGTCCCAAGGAGGAAGTAAAGCTGGAGACTCACATACGGGTGCCAGCGTCAGCAGCTGGCCGGGTCATTGGCAAAGGTGGCAAAACGGTGAGCCCCGAGGGCTGTGTTGAAAGCCCTGGGCCTTGGTCTCCAAACCCAACAGCTCTGCTCCGGGGCCTGCTGTTGCCCTGCCCTGCTCAACCTTAGGACTCCTGATTTGTCCATTTACACAATTCTCTCTAACTCAGCTCCTGACTTAAAGTTTCTGCCCACTAGTCACCTGCCCCTTACTCCTCCCACCACCCACACCCGTGCTTTCTTGATGGCATCTCAGCTTCTCTCTGGCCACCCACAGGTGAATGAGTTGCAGAATTTAACAGCTGCTGAGGTGGTAGTGCCAAGAGACCAGACTCCTGATGAAAACGATCAGGTCATCGTGAAAATCATCGGACATTTCTATGCCAGCCAGGTACATAAATAAGTTGTTCCTCCAATGTGGGGGGGCTGCAGG